ATTAGGACCTTTAACTTTTAACCTCCCACCAGACTCCAATAGACAAACACTCATCGTAACTTCATTCCAAATGAAACAGAAACAATATTGTTTTTGGCTTCCAGCCGCTGGTGCGAAAACGGCCAAAAAAGTGTGGACCGACTTCACTCGGCTTATTGTGTCATCTAACAAACCTTTTTGTCTCAATGGGGACCTCTGTAGATAGGGTGAAAGCTGTTCCTCCAACTCTCTCTCTCACTCTCGGTCTCTCTAACGGGGGGGCCCAATTTGTGGGGCTTCCCTCACCCAACCTAAAGGATACTCACCACAAACTGTGGCGGTAAGGCAAGCTTGGAGACAAGGGGTATAGGAAATGGAATCAATTAATCCACCCAAGCCTTGCAAATACCAGAAGGGCTGAAAACCAACCACATTTTACCTGCCTTGCTAAACAAAACCTACTGGAAGCTGATGGCCTCAGAAGTGGGGCTGGCTCTCCAACTCATCGTAACTTCACTCAAAATGAACAGAAACAAGATAAAACTCCCCACCACAGGCAGAGTGAGTGTGACTATATAGTGGCTCCACTGTATCTTTACATAGCGAAGCTGTTTGCTGCTATATTAATGTTTAAATCTCGTATCATCTCTAAGGGCTCGTGATGGTAACAGCAATGATCTGTCAGCTGTGGCCGAAAACAAAACAATGCTGATAATATTACTATAAATGTTAAGAACACAATAAAGGCAAAAACATTTTAAAACTGACCAGTTTAGTCAACATGAGCATATTATTTCTCTTTTAAACTGCTGACATTAATATAAATTCACTATATAAATTCAATGTGTATATGTATTAAATACATACAACAGGTACTTGTTTGCATGATGCTTTAGTTTTACAGCTATTGTAAGAAAATTATTATTATGGGGGTTAATTATATGTTGAATTATCAGCTGAAATTATATTATGCAAACAAAAAACTTTAGTAATTATATTCAGTTAATTAAAAAATAAGATTTAGGCATTGAGGAAAAGGGAGCTGGTGTCCTCCACTCTGTCCTCCTTCCTCCAGCTCCATCTGCCTGATAAAGACAGTAAAAGTCCCCAAAAAGCTTCTTTTCTTTTTTTAACATCATCTTACTGCAGTAAATGAGTCTTCACCAAAGGCCGAGTCCTCCTGCAGCACTTCAGATCTGCTGCTTTAATCCGGGAGCAAATGACACTGTACTCATCTGATGACTGAGCGGCACTTATTTCAGTTTCATCACGGATCTCTTAGCAACTAACCGAGCTCCATCAGCGAGGTCAGCAGGAGAACTGACAGCGCCGCATTATGTCTAAATATATAACAGAAAAGAAGAGAAAGCAATTTGTGTTAATTGATTCTGTATTTGTGAAAGAACAAGAGAACATTTACTGACATATGAGTGCTGAAATAATGTTCCCTGCTGAAAAAACTGTGAAGAACCACGACTGTTTTATTCTGTTGAGATAAACAAGGTGTTTCTTTATTACCTGAAAGCAGCTTTTCAGAGTTGAGGTCTTTTTAAACACATCAAAGCAGCCAGAAAAGGATTTAAATCCCCTGAAAGCCCCACGAGGTCGACATTGATCACCATAGTTTATGATCAGATACCTGCAACTTTAAACATTCCCAACAGCCTCAGCTAAATTAATATGGTGAAAAAGGTGAAAATGATACCTGCAAAACTTCACTGTGAGCATTTAGATACTTAAGTACAATACTGAGGTTCTTGTTTTACGTTTTCTATTTTCTACTTCTACTCCACGACAGTTTAAGCTTTAAATGTTGTAAATGTTTCCTAATTAAGGTTACTTTGCATAACAAATCAAAATAGGATTAACTATTACAGGTTTAGATTGGATAAACAAAGCTAGCGGTGTATAAAGTACTTAAAATCAGCTCCACCTTTACCAGCTGCAACACATTAATGCATAAATAATTATAATCCAGTAATATTTTACATATTATTCTGAAATATGAGTCATTATTACTTAACTCTGTAGAGCTATTTAACTTTACTTTTAATTTATTTTAACAAAAAAAAGGAGACCTACAGCAGCTTAAAAGTTTGAATGCAGAACTTTTACTTGTATTTCTTTTACTTCAGTAAAATATCGGAGTATTTCCTCCTGCACTGAGCTCACAGTAAATCAGTGTGGCTGCAGACTCTTGAAGTTTCGGTCTATTTCTTCCACAAACAGGCTACTTCTGAGTCGTTGGAAACTCTGGAAATCAATTAACGGCGGCTAAATTTGATGTTCAAGGGAATCATGGAGGCTCGTGTTGAAACAGATTAAACGGACTGTTTGATGGCTGAAATGTGGATGATTTAAAAACAGTCCTGATCTGTGAGGAAAGAGGGAGTTTTATGTTGTTTGCTGCATGAAGCAACATTAAACTGACAGATCTTTTCTTGGAGCCTGATGAGACGTCTCTTCTTCCCCCACACTGACACACAAAGAGAGCGGACGTCATGTTTCAGGACCGGTCATCGATCAGCCCGCTGTTTGCATTGACTCACTGTACGTGGGAGGAGGGAAGCAGTCGGTCCGTCCTTTCTTTTCATGCTTCTTGAACAGAGAGTTTGTTGTTGTGTGTTTGTTGTTGTGTGTTTGTGGATTCAGTCTAATAAACTTGTTGTGTTCAATGTTTCCTGACTTACTTGAATTTTAACCGTGTGTTAAAATCTAAAACCTCTGGGTCTATTTTGGGAGTTTTATTCGAACTGGAATCAAAGACGTGACTCACAGTGAAGCTGTAACCATGGAAACTGATTTATTAATCTTTTTTTTTGGTTTGTTTTTCAGATCCTTCCCGGAGTTCGGATCATCATCGCAAACCCGGAGACCAAAGGACCGCTGGGAGACTCTCACCTCGGAGAGGTCGCCACATAAAAACTGCGTCTCTTATCTTGTTTGTTTCTTTCCCGTCTTTCTTTTTATTTTGTTTCATCTTCTTCCATCTTTTCCCTTTTTTTCTGACGTAGCTTTTCTGGTTTCTTTTTAATCTATCTGCCTTTTTCCTCTTTGAACTCTCCTTTTTGTTTTCCTGTTCTTTCTTTCAGTCCTTTTTAGTCTTTGTTCTATTTTCTTGATTTTTTTTTTTCTCATTTCCTGTCTGCCTTTGCTGTCTTGCTCTTTGTTCCTTCCTTCCTTCCTTTACATTACATTCATTTAGCCGACGCCTTTATCCAAAGTGCATTCAACCGTGTGGCTGCAGCCCAACAACCGTACATCACCTTCATCTAATATGCTGAACTAATTCGAGTGCTACGTTCAGGAACAATAAAAGCCGGAGACAGTTAGAGCTGCAAACATCTCTCTCCTGGGTGTTTGCACTCGTATAATAAAGAGTTTAAAGTGTATTTAGCTGCACTGCCGAATCTATATTGCTCTCCCAGTTTGTAGTTTCTCATTCTTTATCCGCCTCCACTCTTAAATATCCTCTTATCACCTGCTGTAGATTTGTGTTGAATGTAGCTCTTTGACAACAGTCTGGACTCTCTGCTGCAGATCTGGGTGCACAGCGCTCACAACGGCAGCGGCTACTACAGCGGTTACGGCGAGGAGGTTCTGCAGTCCGATCACTTCAACTCCAGACTCAGTTTTGGAGACACTCAGACGGTCTGGGCCAGGACGGGTTACCTGGGCTTCCTCCGCCGCACCGAGCTCACCGACGCCAACGGAGGTTAGTTTCTCTCTCTCCCACTACATTTCCTCAGCGTCTCCGCCGTCCGCTACGCCATCACCAACCCGGCCTCTCTCGTCTGTCTGTGTTTCCCCAAACAGAGAGACACGATGCTCTGTTCGTCGTGGGAGCCCTGGAGGAGGCCATGGAGCTGAGGGGAATGAGGTACCATCCCATCGACATCGAGACCTCCGTCATCCGCGCCCACAAGAGCATCATGGAGTGGTAGGTCTCGGTTCGATTTCACCATCTTTACTACCATCCTGTACGGATCTACTATGGTAGAGGTTCATAATAAACCTCCAAAACTGGGATTTAAAGTTTTTATGTGAAAGTCTGACAACATTTATATTGTTGATGTAATTCTCTACATATTGTACAAACTGTTTATGAACATATGAACGACATTTTAAGTTCTGCAGCTCCACTTTAGTCTCTTTCTAGCTTGTAGTTTTGTTTTTTATGCAGTAGAGGAATAAATATACAGAGTTTATGTTTGTGAAAGTAACACTAACCTTTATTTATAGTATTTTCATCTTCCAACCTGATAAAATGCTGCACAAAATGAATACAAATAAAACAAGAGCATAAGATTATCGGTTTTTTAAAGAACATTTCAACCAGATAAAAACAAGATAAACTATTTAGGAAATAAAAGACTTAAATTAAAGTAAAATCAGTAAATGATCATGTTTCTTGGTTGTGGTTAAAAGTATTTAATTCAACATCTTACCTGACTCATAATGCAGGAAAATGAACCCTGTTAGTGTTTTATTTAATACTAATAAATTAATATATAATCCTCTTCAACAATTCATCATGTTTTACACACTGATGTCTTGATTAGTAAAGTAACTAGAAGCTAAAGCTGTGGGATCAATGTAATGGAGTACTTTCCATCCTTAAGTTGTTATTAATGTGTGAGATGTGTTCTGCTGCCCCCTGGTGGATATAAACCCTGTGTGTTCCTCCTCAGCGCGGTCTTCCCCTGGACCAACCTGCTGGTGGTGGTGGTGGAGCTGGAGGGCTCCGAGCAGGAGGCCCTGGACCTGGTTCCCATGGTGACCAAGGCGGTGCTGGAGGAGCACTACCTGATCGTGGGCGTCGTCGTGGTGACGGACATCGGCGTCATCCCCATCAACTCCCGCGGCGAGAAACAGCGCATGCACCTCCGCGACGGCTTCCTACAAGACCAGCTGGACCCCATCTACGTGGCCTACAACATGTAGC